TTTTGATTTTTATTTTTAGAAAGAAAGTACTTCTAGTAAAATTTTTCGTTTTTTTTTTTTGATTTTGAACTTTTGGGAATTTTTAAAAGTTAAAAGAAAATTATTTTTTGTTTGAGTTTTTCAATTTGTTTTCTCTTTTTCTAAAGGAAAAAGAAATATTTTTGGATTTTGAATGTAACCTCTTAATTTTCGAAAGAGGGACTTCTTTAAGAAAATGTTTTGGATTTCTGAGTTTTTATTTATTTACAAAAGCACTTCTAAAGAAAAGCAAAAATATTTTTGGACTTCAATTTTTCAAAATTTTATGGACATTTACAAAAGAAAGACATCTAAAGAGTATTTTTGCATTTTTTGTTTCGGATTTTTTATTTTAAAAAAAAAATACTTCAAAATGAAGGAAACACATATTTTTGGATTTTGATTTTTATTGATTTTCCTTTTTTCGTATGAAAGACATTAGAAAGAAGGAAACCATTTTCGAGTTTTAAAAAAACTTCTACTTTTTTTTTGAATTTTCTAAGGAAAGATTTCTAAAGAAAGAACTGAAAGAAAATATTTTTGGATTTTTTTTTTTTAAAATTGGGGCCGGAACCGATGAGGTTTGCCTACGTATCTCACATCCGGTGAGAATCAGACCCGCGTAGTTCGGTCAGATTTGCCAAAATCAAAGCTATTTTGAACAACGAATTTCTTTTCTATGTTTTCAAATATTTTTCTTTTCTATTTTTTCAAAAATCAGGCAGCATTTCGGTACTATTTGGGCATTTGGTTTTTCACAACAAATGATCACCCTCACTTAGTCCTAACACTGCTTATTTTCTCAATTTTCACTCATTTAGACAAGCCGGTCAACATGCAAAGCCGAGCAAATAAATGCGTAAATAGCACGTAAGATGCATCAGGATGGTCAATTCATTTCAGGTCACCTGTCCTAGACGGACCCAACCCCTGTGTTGAGTCCCCTAAGTCAAATGCACTTGATGCAAACAAACGTCCTATTAGGGATCCGGCATGAGGATTTGTTCTTCTAGGTTTAACCCTAGGTTTATTGGTCTACACCTGGCTTACCCGAGCGGACAACTCGGGCCGAGGGGGAGGCAGCGTACCGGGGATACAGAAGCTCCGCCGGCTTTGCAACTTATCCAACCTCGTTCTACATGGGAAAAGACTCTAAACAGAAGAGAAGCTACACGAAGTGCACCCTTCTCCATGATGTAGAAGAATCAGAAAGAGGAAGGGATTCGCGACAGTTTATATATACAGTTTCAACAAATATCAAATAGGTAAAACATTTAGCACATATAACATGGAACATGTAGAAAAATCAGATAAAGCCAAATACAATAATTATATACTAAGCTCGAATTCTTGAACCCTAAATCGAAATTCTGGGTTCGTATCCCCAGCAGAGTCGCCAGAGCTGTCACACCTCCTTTTTACACCCCTACCCCGAAGGATAAATGTATAAGGGAGTTTTTCCATTTAAAGTGACATTATTCGAAATGGATTATTTATTTATTTTATAGAGTCGCCACTTGGGAAAGGATTGACTTTTGGTGTCCCTAGTCACCGATTTTAAATCCCAAATCGAGGAAAATTTCGACTTCCCAATTGGAGTCTGCGAACCAGAAATTCTAAATAAGGAATTCTGTTGACCCGAGGGAAGGTGTTAAGCACCCCCGGATCCCGTGGTTCTAGCATGGTCGCTTAAATTATTATAAATGGCTAAACATCTGGTTTTTATACACATTCCCACCTATAATGCAATTTTTTGAGATTATTTACCGCTTTAATTATTTTTACGAAAGTGAACGCCGTTTAAGAGCGTGTTTTTGGATCACGTCACATGAAATGCACCCGGATCCTCAACACCTCTTATTCAACGTTTTGATTTGGATTTGGGTCACATAAATGTGCACCCGTATTTAAGAAGGTAAGATTATTAAAAAGCGCACCTAAAATGGCTAGCGTCTTATTAACTTTGCGAGGGCCATGAAAATTCGCTAAATGGCACGCCTCGAATTCTAAGGATTTTAAAAGAAATAACTAAATGAGGGCCATGCAATTGTCATTTTATTTGGCACGGCACGCCACAAATTATTTAACGAGAAAAGACAAAAATAAACAGATTTCGCCAATTTTACCAAGAATCAAAACACGATATCAACCACTAATTGATGTACCAAAAAAAGTTAAAAAAAAAAAAATTCTCATGAAGCACGCATGATACAAACATACGTTGAACTTCAACAAATTTCAACCAACATCCACATGGTCCATTACTGCTAATCCCTTCATTATTCAAACTAACTTTTGCAATTTCCTTGACTAACAAGAAGGTGAAGTAACAAACAGGAAACCAACTAAGTGACCATGATTTCTACAACAAAATATTTAGCCACCATAACAGATTATAGAACTTTAACTCTCCAAGCAAAAATGATAAAGAAGTTAACAACATGAAACTAAGATGAAGTAACAAACATGAAACCAACTAAGTGAAAATGATTTCTACAACAAAATATTTAGCGACCATAGCAGATTATAGAACTTTAACTATCCAAGCAAAAATGATAAAGAAGATAACAACGGACCTTTGAAGCCTTTCGATATATTAAGATCTTCCAACTGGCTACAAGAAGTACGCGACACTATGGCTAAACACGAACGGACTGTAAGCCGAAGACTAAGGCGGAAATTTCGAACCAGCGACCGGAAACGAACTCGAACCAGCGCTGAAACACTCAAGTAGGTTTCATGGCTGCTGTTGCTGTGATAGACGAAGAAGAAGGAGTAGTGGCGATGAAGATCTCTTTGTGTGCGTGATTTTCAGGCGTTTTTGGTGCTGATTTTTGGAAGATTTTCTGCTGGATTTTCTTTGCCTTTTAGATCTGTTTTTGGGCTGATTTCCGTTGAGGAATGGGACTGATTTTGGGGTCAGAAAAAGGTTGGCTATAGCTGATGGGTTTCAAGGTGTTTTGTGGTGAATTTTTGTATAAGAATAGTGAAGGAAATGGTTAGCTCTAAGGTTCTTTCATGGCTGTTCTTGGTTGAGATTTTTATCAGGAAGAAGAGAAAGTTGGAGCCTCCTTTTTCCGTTTCTTTTCGTTAGGAAGAAGAAGATGATACTCCTTTCTCGTGCTCTCCCTTTTTCTGTTTCCATTCCCCTCTATATATTAGCGTGTGTGTATATTGTAGAAAGAAAAGAAGATAGGAATTGTGGTCCCCACCAAAGGAATATTTTTTCAATTTTTTTTGGCCAAAGCGTTAGTGGGATTAAAATGGGGGTGCATGTGAGTTTGTTAGGGAGTGGATAATGGAGAATCTTTGCCACACGGCCCAACGTGATTGGCTCTTATTTTTGATTTTCTTTTCTTTCTTTATTTTTGGTTAATAAAATGAAATACTACTCCTACTTTATTAATATAGAAAGATAAAAAAAATGTTGTCTACTCAAAATTATATTATTAAAAATTCTTAACTTGAGAAGGATAGAGTAGACCTGTTAAACATATATCTTTTGAATATTTTTCTTTCTTTCGAGAACAAGAACACAATTACTATGTAAAATTTTGACTATTTTGTATTTTCAAGATTATATATAAAAATAAAATAAGGTACTATTTTTGTATATTTTTTATTTAAATTTATAAAAGATGCGTAAACTAAAATATTTTTTGTAATTTTTACTTGTAATAAAATAAAATAACATAGCAAAAATTAATTGAAATAGCTATATTAGGCCTAAATTAAATATTTACATGCTAAAAATATAAAAAAATCTTGGGGAAGGGTCGAAAAAATCACATGTCTACAGCTGCCCCTCTTTGANTAAACTAAAATATTTTTTGTAATTTTTATTTTCTTGTAATAAAATAAAGTAAAAGAGTAAAAATTAGTTGAAATAGCTATATTAGGCCTAGATTAAATATTTATGTGCTAAAATATAAAAAATCTTGGGGAAGGTCAAAAATCACATGTCTACAATATCATGTTTTCGGAGGAAAGTTTTAGAATCTTGATTTTTGCCAGCTATGCATGCCCTTATTTGGTGTTTACTGTGTGATGAATTACTAATTATAGTTTCTGCAATCTGATACCTATTTTTCCTAGTATATTTTTTAGAGAACTCTATGTATATATTTAACTCTCTCTCTCTCTCTCTCTCTCTCTCTCTCTCTATATATATATATATATATATATATGTCACGATCCGGATTTCCCACAATCGAGAGTCGTGATTGTTGACATCCAATTTTGTCCCTCCTGTCTTCCAATTATTTTTTTTCTTGAGCTTTTAAATTATTCATATACTTTACTTTTAAGTTATTTATATACTTTACTTTTACTACTATTATTGTTACATTTGTTACTATTACTATTATTAATATTGGTATTAGTATTATAATAATAATAATAATATTGATATTATTATATTATTATTATTATTATCATTATTACTACTACTACTATCACAAATTATTATTTTATTATTAGTATTATTAGCATTATTATTAATGTTACCATTAATATAATATTATTGAGTTAATTGACTTATTTTAATATGTAATACTATATATGCTCAAAGTATTTTATTGAGTCCAAACTATTAAGATATGGGAGCCCAATAAAATTAATTTGGCAAAAAGAGAAGACTATAATTTTCGGCCTAAATCAATCCAAAAGAATATTTTTAGACCAGCCCAAACAAACCCAAATCTTTTAGACCCCCTTAGTCCCTATAACACAAACTCACTCTAGGGTTCCTAATCCCATTTTGTCCTAGCCGCCTCTCTCCCATTTCTCCTCTTGGACTATAATCCAAACCTCCATCACCCTTAGCAGTATTTGTTACTCCATTTTAGTGTAAGCTTTGTACACATTTTCAGCCATTCCCGAGCCCTTCCCTTCCTTCTATTTTCGTGAATGATGGCATATCAAAATCAAGAGAAAATCAGTCCCAAATCTCACCATTTCCAGCTATTCTTGGATGAATCAAATATGTGATCAAAATCTCAAACGTTCGAAATTCAAAATTGTTTGACCATGCTCAGATCTGAAAGGAAATCCCGCCCAAAAAATCAAAACCCTAGTTGTTTCATCTATAAATACCTCTCTAAGTCTCAGCCGAAAGAGAGGGCTAAAAAAAAACCCTCGAAAATCAGTTTGATACCATCTGTGGGAAATCTCTCAATTTCTTGTCTCTATTTCATATTATCAGTAATTAAGGAGTAGATCTGAAGCGACCTTTAAGCCTTTGTTCACTGCACCACACAAGGTCAGCCTATTTTCTTCTTTAATCTCGCTTTTTAGTTGTTGTTGGAATGTAGAGTTTGAACCTATATTATTTTATCATTATCAATAAGTATTTTAGTGTTAGAAATTATGTTCTTAAGACAGGTGGAATGTCAATAGTTTCTTATTCATCTGCTACGTATATATTTAGATTAGTTAAAATATTATGTACTTAAATGTTTTGTAGATATGTGAACGAGACTTTTATTGTTCGGTAGAATTTGTCTTTAAATGCCCTTTAGGACAAATTTTAGTTTGATCCCCTGTTATTCTAGATATCATATTCTCATACTCAAAAACTGTGTTAGGAATATGAAATGCTTATTTGCTCGGTGAAATCTGCGTGTTCATCTCGTCCCCCTTATTGTCACTTTGAGAACCATGACGTTTAAGCTTTTCTTTTTACTTCGATGTCAGTAACTGTTAAAACTCTTCATTTATGTCTCTTTTCTGATTAGAAGTAAATTTTGTCTCTATTTGAGATATGTGCTACAGTGGGCTTGTTGATTACGGCTCAAGTATAAACAACCTGTTATGAGCTTATGTTGTATGGAATTATGAGCTATAGCTCGTTTGTTTGTGGAATTATGTATTTTGGCTAAATAGAGTAGATTTTAAAACAAAATAACCCATAGGTTGTTAAGTATTCACATGAATTGATTTGAGGTTAACTATCTACATATTTTGCTTGAAAGGTTCTGTTGCTTAACCTAGTTTTTTTAAAAGAAAAGGAATTGTTCTCCTAACAGAATCATGACTTGAGAATTCTAGTTATCTAGCATGCCTATATGAATCACTATCTTTAGTTAGGTATTTAAACGGATGAATTCTATATCATATTCAAGATCTGCTTGAAATATATGGAATAGACATTCTATAAAGCTAAAATCGGTTAAGAGTATATGGTTATAAATTTAGTTTGTCATTAACCCATGTAAGTGAAAAAGGAAGAATTCTTCTGTTTCAAGGGCGGTAACCTTTGAGTTTTCTTTACGAAATCATTGAACTCATGTCTATAAGATTAAAATATTCTTTATATAATTTTCATCATTTAGAAACCATGCCGATAGGATCTTAATTAAAAAATGTATCTATGCCCCAACATCTTAGACTAGATATCTTAACACCTCTTCTTCTAGGATTTGTGTAGTAAGAGTAAAAGAATATAAATGTGTCGTAGCTATGCATTGATGGAACTTATGTAGCTTCATGTTAAGTTAGAGTTTCATTTTGTTGCAAAGTGTATGTTTGGTATATGGTTTTTAAGTTACTTTCAAGAAGTTTGAAAAGAACGTGCTTGTAAGGAGTCTGACTCTTTTACATTGAAGGATACTAATTTATGCACTAAGAGTTTAATTTAGCACTATGTTAAGAACTCGATATTCCATGAACCACGTGTTCTGATAATAATATGACTCGCTAATCATTGCGACACTTAAATTAGCTATTGTTCTTGCTCACTTTGGGCTGTATAAAGGAATTACTTTGCCAGAATTTGGTTGCGATCTAGGATAGTAGAAAATGTAAGTTTCAGATCTATAAATCGTGACTGTAGAATTCATTTGAAGCCACATACTGTTAAGTTTCTTACCTCCCATCACGCTTGTTGGACTTAAAATACTTTATTGAAACAAACACGAACTCTTATATGAAATTCTAGTATGTCACATATTCTGTTGTAGTGACCCTGCTACTAGGTAGAAGCATTTTACATTTACTGATTTGAGACAACCTTAAAGAAATATGAAACTTGTCTTGTTTGCTTGACTGGTCCATATAGTTGAATATTGCTTCATATTAAAATTGTTGTATATGGCAAACTGCTGCTAGTTTCTGGACGTTGCAGAACTGAGAAGCAATGAGATTTCTTATCTTATGTGTTTATTTATACGGTTTAGAGTTAAATCTTCACATCTAATTCTTTATTTCTCTTTCTCTTTGCATATTCACTTAGAGCAAATTTGGCGTCTTAATGCAAGACTCGCCCATGCCCGAGCACGGAGTCAATACATATTCCCATATCCTTAGAGTCATTGGATAGCGAGAAAACAAGCGAAACGCTTGGGGGAGCCTATGGCGTCCTTCCTTTAGCTCTTTTGTCATTCGTTTATTCTAACATATATTATAATTTTTGAGCCTATGGCGTCCTTCCTTTAGCTCTTTTGTCATTCGTTTATTCTAACATATATTATAATTTTTGTGTATTTGGGTAGTTATTTTTTTCAAGTGTGAATTTAATCATCCAGGCCCTTTGATTTAGTACCGATATTACATAAGACATGATAGCTAGAATAAGGAATCTAATATCAATAATTCGGTAATTTCTTCACATATTTACCATTTATACATTTTCTAGTAAGATTAGTACTGTATTTCAAACACATTTTTAGAAGTCACTTTGTTAAAGTTGACGCTTTCGGAAAGCTAATTGTTAGGCTCGTTTTCAATATTGTTAAGTTGGAGTTTTCCTTATAAATAAGGTAAACCACGTAAGTCTTTCTAGGAACTAATTTGTAGTGGTTTAATTATTAGAGTAATTCAAGATTTGATATTCTTTTAGTATCAGTTTATTACTTTCAAAATTTAAACGATTGTTACTTTAATATATAAACTCCTTAGTTGTAGTTTCATATGGAAAAGCTTTTCCTTAAGATATAAGAGGTGAAGTCCAAAGTGTTTTTTTTCGTTTGAATTTGAAATGCATGAAAGTAATTTTCTTTTCTCAATTATAATTGTATACCGATGGGATTTATCTCTTTCTTCCTAACTTTATTACACATGTATTTTTAATTCAATTGACAAACGCTTTTAAAATACGCTAATGTTGCTGCTTAATTTTTTTTTAAAAAGAATTAATTAACCTAAGTTAGGCCGGTTAACTGTAATTAACGGATTATATAGGGTGCTTTAATAACCTTCCCTATAAAATTAATTAGAACCCTTACCCATAATTTTGAGGTTAAGCAGACCGTAAAACAGAGTTCACTTTAACCATTACTTAGTTAAAATTCGTGTCCTAATTCATCGTTAAAATAATTAGGTGGCGACTCTCTTTAATTAATTAAACCTTCAGAATTACCAATATGTTATACTCTAATTTGACCCGTGTTAAAATGGGGTATAACAATGATGGCGCCTACTAGTTAAAGCTAGGCAAGCCAATCAATTAAACTATTTACCTTGTTTCTATTTTTAATACGATAACAGTTAAGAGCCAACAATTAGATAACAACAGAATTGAATATGCGGAAGGTTGCATTGTAAAATTTTAATAATACTGCTAATACCAATCCATAACAAAGTTACCAAAGACTGGTGTCACAACTTCACAGACTGTCTAGGAGTACTACAAATAAAGGACTGAAAGAAATAAATACAACACTGTCTCTGGAAATACATGAAAGAAACATGAATAGTAGATAGAAGGAGACGCCTAGCCTGCGGACGCCTGCAGAACTACCTCGGGTCGCCTGACGATCAAGAAACAACAATCTCAGTGCGGTCCGAAATCTACAGCACTAGGATCTGCACAAAAGAGTGCAGAGTATAGTATCAACACAACCGACCCCATGTGCTGGTAAATGCCTAGCCTAACCTCGGCAAAGTAGTGACGAGGCTAGGATCAGACTACCAAATAAACCTGTGCAGTTAAATCATATACCGCGGAAATAGAAGCAGATAATTACAACTAAAGTTGGGCAGGGGAAACATGTTGCGGGGAGTAACAGTAACAACGGAATAACAGTAGAAAAATTTAAGGATCGCCATAAATCAAATACCAGCAAAAGATAAGGAAATAAGAAACAAGTACACATGTAGTACCGTTGCAGGCGTACAACCCGCTCCCATTTCATATATTACTGTCGCAGGCGTGCAACCCGCTTCCATTTCATAGATATTACCGTTGCAAGCGTTAAACCCGCTCCCATTTCATATATATTACCGTTGCAGGCATGCAACCCGCTCCCATTTCATATATTGCCGTTGCAGGCGTGCAACCCGCTCCCATTCCATATATTACCGTTGCAGGCGTGCAACTCGCTCCCACTTCATATTTCAATACCAATCATAAAAGAGTCTCAGCAAGGAAACAACAATATAACAACAACATCCGACAAGGGAACAATAATATAACAACAACATTCCGGCAAGGGAACAGTAATATAACATCAACATCCCGACAAAGGAACAGTAATATAATACCAACATCCCGGCAAGGGAACAATAATGATAATCCTCATATGAAGCACGAACAAACCACAACAGAGTCATAACAATTACAATACAAGACTCACGGGCATGCTTGACACCGACGTATAGATACTCGTCACCATGCCTATACGTCGTACTCCACAGCTAGCACATAGCAATTAAAACACAACTCCTAATCCCTCAAGCTAAGGTTAGACCAAACACTTACCTCGATGCCACGACACAATTCAAGCCTCAACTATCATTTTACCTCTTGATTCCACCACCAACTCGCTCGTATCTAGCCACAAGTTACTTAATTATGTCAATAAATGTTAAATGAAACAATTCTAATGCATGGAAATAAGTTTTCTAAAGTTTTTCCCAAAAAGTCAAAAATCGACCCCAGACCCGCTTCGTCCAAACCCGAAATTCGGACCAAAACCCGATTACCCATTCACCCCCGAGCCCGGATATATAATTGGTTTTGGAATCTGATCTCAATTTGAGGTCTAAATCCCCAAAATTTCAATATTCTTAGGTTTATTCCAAAATTCCCAATTCCACCATAAAAACCCTAGATTCTAGGATGAAATCTTGTAAAAAGAAGTTAATGAGTAAAGAAAATGAGTTAGAAATCACTTACTAATGTTTTGGAGAAAGTGTGTTTGGAAAATTGCCTCTTACGTTTTTGGGATTTTGAAAAATGAAAAATAACTGAAAGTCCCGTTTAAATATACCCCTCTAAGACCCTCTCCGCGGACCGCACAAAAAGGATTGCGGTCGCGGATCTCACCGTGGAGACTGCAGTGACATGCTTTAGTATTTTGGCCATAACTTTCTCTATATATGTCCAAATTGTGATTTCATTACCTTTCTGGAAACTATACACGAAGGGCTACAACCTTTGTTTTTGAATCATCTCAAAATACCTTGTAGATCAAATGATATAGGCTTCCGAAGCCAGACTAGTGAACCTGCAGATTCTTCCTCACCGTGGACCGCACAAAATCGAGTGCGATCGCAAAGTCCCCACCGCGGACCACACGAAATCTTTTGCGGCCGCGAAGGCCCCTTCCGCGGTCGCACAAAATCATTGCGGACCGCACATGCGGGTTCAGAGATCTGCAGCTTCTCTGAACCTGCAACAACTATGTTTTTTAAATCTAAAACATCCCGGAACATATCTGAAACTCACCCGAACCCCCGGGACTCCAAACCAAATATGCATACTAACTCAAAATATCATATGGACCTACTTTTGCGATCACATCATCAAAATAACATGTAAAACCATGAATTAAACCTCAAAGCTCGTCATTTTTTCATCAAGAACACTTAAAGTTCATAACTCTTCAACCGGAAGTCCAACTCACGTCAAATAAACTCCATTTTCACCAAATTTCACAGTTATCATTTAAACACTATAACAAGTGTGTACCGGGCTCCGAAACTAAAATACGGGCCCGATACCGATGGTTTCAGACATTAATTATTTTCCTCATTTCTTAAATAATTCAGCAAAATAATTTCTTTCAAAAATTGATTTCTAACGCTTGGGACCTCGGAATTTATTTTCGGGTATATGCCCAAGTCCCATATTTTACTGCGGACCTCTCGGGATCGTCGGAACACAGATCCGGGTCCGTTTGCTAAAAATGTTGACCAAAGTCAACCATAATCAAATTTTAACTCTACAAATTTCTATTTCTCATATTTTCACATAGAAGGCTTTCCGGATATAGGTCCAGACCATGCACGCAAGTCGAGGTGAAGTAAAGAGGAGGTTTTTAGGCCTCAGACACTGAAATTGTTTCTAAAACAAGTGATATCCTTTTGGGTCATCACATCCCCCACCTCTAAAATAACCGTTCGTCCTCGAACAGACATAAGAAGGAAGTACCCGAGTCGGGAAAAAGATGGGGATAACGGCTCTGCATATCGGACTCGGACTCCTAGGTCGATATCTCAGCAGGATGACCTCTCCACTGAACACGAACAGAAGGGAAACTCTTCGATCTCAACTGACGAACCTGTCGGTCTAGAATAGCTACCGGCTCCTCCTCATATGACAAGTCCTTGTCCAACTGGACAGTGCTGAAGTCTAACACGTGGGATGGATCACCGTGATACTTCCGAAGCATGGACACATGAAACACTAGATGCACGGCTGATAAGCTTGGCGGCAACGCAAGTCTGTAAGCCACCTCCCCCACTCGATGAAGAATCTCAAACGGGCCAATGAACCTAGGGCTAAGCTTGCCCCTCTTCCCAAATCGGATCACGCCTTTCATAGGCGACACTCGAAGCAACACCCGCTCACCGACCATGAATGCCAAATCGCGAACCTTACGGTCGGCATAACTCTTCTGCCTGGACTGAGCGGTACGAAGCCTATCCTGAATAATCCTGCACCAGATCCGCACCCAACAACCGAGCCTCTCCCGGCTCAAACCATCCAACCAATGACCGACATCGCCTACCATACAACGCCTCATAAGNGTAGCCTGTTTGCAGCATCATGAACCACGGCGTATAGCGGACACCGAGAGCGTAATATCATACGAGTGGATGTAAAGGAACATAAGTTATATGCTTCGGGCTGAATCAATATCGCACGATAAGGAATGAATAGATGTGAAGTTTTTCCTAACTCTGTAGCCTCTGGGGATAAATACAGACGTCTCCGTACCGATCCCTCAAACTCTACTAAGCTTGTCTGTGAATTGTGAGACCTAGAGTTGTGATACCAACTTGTCACGACCTGGATTTCCTACCCTCGGGAGTCATGATGGCGCCTACTAGTGCAAGCTAGGCAAGCCAACGAATTGAACTATTTACCTTGTTTTCATTTTTTAATCCGATAACAATTAGGAACCAACATTTAAATTACAACAAAATTTAAATAGGCGAAAGACTAAATTGCAAAGTTTCAACAATACTGCTAATACCAATCCCTAACAAATCTACCCAAAACTGGTGTAACAACTTCACAGACTGTCTAGGAGTACTACAAATAAAGGTCTGAATGAAATAATACAATACTGTCTCT